TCTTGTAGAGTACCATATCCTTCCTATGTTGCCTTGAAAATCTTCCCTGCTGTCACAGGTAGTCCTGTGTGAGGCTCAGTGTTAGCCTTACCTGGACATGGATATCACCAACATGCCTTTGACACAGCCAGCAAGGGTGCTTTTAGGCATGTCCATGTAAATATTTCTTTTCTCAGAGCTGCTGGCAAGGTTATCAACAACAGCACGTTGGAGATGGGGTTTGAAGTACTTGAGGGGTGCTGAGCTTCCCTCAGAGGTTAATACGAGGCAGCTTTTGGGTTTTTTTAATTGTAGAGCTACACTGGTTTAACAAAGATGCCTCCGGGACAGTAATTCCCATATTTACAACTCTTACCACAGAAAATGCGCTTACCATGTTTATGAAAAGTTAGTTGAAGTAAATACAGCACTCTCAACTTTTGATGTTTTTTTTTCTATAATTTCAACACTTTTGCCCTTTCGCCTAAAGTTAACAATTTGTAACTTTTGCTAATTATTTGTCATGAGCAGCTCACAGTTCCACCCATTCTCAGCTGGTGTGCCTGGTCCTTATTGCTCATTTTATGAATTTTATTTGAATACTGCTTTCAAACATATTTATATATTTTGCAATGCATGAAGCTGGAATTGGTTCACATGACATTGCTAATAACAAGGGTTCAAGCAGTTAAAAATCAGTACAACTCATAATAAGCATGATCATGTATATCTCTCTGCTTCTTTAAAATAATTTTTTAATGCTGGTGTATTTGTTTTTAAGACACTAAAAGTCAGTCTTCATTGCCACTGTTGTTCAGAAAATTCGAGCAATTTTTTTCTTTTCTTCTTTATAAAAGCTGTCAAACAATAGAGAACCTCAGTATCTTTATGCATTAGCATGACATCTTCTGTACCCTGACCTTCGAACTACTAAAAGGAATTGTATCATGAGTATCACATATTTATAAATGCACGTTTATTAATATATTTGTATTTAAAATGTGATTGAATTCTATTTAAATAACGTATTTCTATACACTCAGTATAGCATGATACAGTTATGCAACAAAGTACATTTGTATATGTACTTTGAAATGTATTTTTGTATTTTATTCTAGGTTATGAACTGTAATTTCCAAAGGGTGATGTAATTTATCTTCTTTGTACAAGAAGTATGTTCCATTCCTTTAAAAATCTGTATATTTTTACGTCACATTATACGTCAAAGGAGCAGTGATTAAAATCATTGTTGTCAAGGAAGAATGTATTAAAATTATTAATAAGACTTAAACCCACATGAGACTTACTGAATCATCTGATCTGACCTAAATTTATGACCCTTCCTCCCAGTTCTTTCCTTTGCATACTTGCACAAAGACAGGAGGATCGAAAGGAGAAAAGAACTACCACAATGAAGATGAGTGAAAACTGCATATTTACATTGTAACATGTTGTGATTATAATAATATAAACAAATAAACTATATGGGCATTCACATCAGACCTCATTTCAAGCTGAACTATTATAAAGCGATTAACAGTCTCACACTCCTGCTTTAATTAAGTTATGCTGTGAAATATTCAGCATTTGAACCTGTTGAGGCCTGCCTCTTTTATCATTGAATTACCATGCTTAATGTGTTTTTCTGCTGAAAGATGAATTTCATTTAAGGATTACTGTACACTGCTCTGGCATTTTGTGGTTTCTTGTCAGCCCTTGTGAATCTAGATCATAGCCAACTTCAGTTCCTCTGACATGTCCTATATGCACAGTCTCTTGACTAGCCTGTCTCAGTGGATTTATTAACTCATATTGTATTCCTGTAGAAATGAATGGACATTTTTGATTAACTTAATGATAGAAATTTCAGATGACAGCAGAGTTTACTTTTGGAGCTTATTTCAGGTTATGTAGGCCACAGCAGCTCTCTAGTGACCTATCACTTCACTGAAATGTGTTTTGAAAGTTTCAAGGCAGTGGACATCTGTCTGCCAAATACTTTAAGATGGTGCTAGTAAGGAGGGAATTGAACAGTCCTTCAGAGCTGGGGTGTCTAAATTCACAGCCATCCCCAGCACTGCTCTTTTCTTTCCCAGGGTTGGTTTCCAGCTATTTTATCCCACTTCATACAGCAGATTCTGCCTTTGGGCAAATTCATGCTACCAGATGACTCTGAGGAAAGATCAGTGAGTGATGCTCCAACCAAATGTCCTGTTTCCCTTCTTTATACTTTTTGCCTACCCTGGACCAAGGCAATGCAAGATGGTGCCATTTCGTTCTCAGTTGTTTGATGATCAGACTGTGCTTTTAGGAAGGCGAGGACATGCCAATCAATACTGTCATGTTCTTTTGGCTAGTCGTATAAATGTCCTTAGAGGGAGTTCATTAGATCTTGAGATGTGAAAACAGGTCAGGTGGCCTTGTTTACTTCTACCATCCTGCAGATCTGTGCTATCAGGGTGGGTGGCAAGGCAGAGGATCCTGATGCACTACCTGGTCCTGTGTGCATATGGTGCCACAGGAATGGCACTCAGAGCCAGGAACTCCTGAAGGAAGTCTTTGCCCTGGCAAGGCAAAGGTTTGCTCAAGTAGAAAAAGGTTTAAATGACATGGCTTTGGCTTCTAGCATAGTAAATTGACACTCAGCTCTGGAACTGGCTGAAAATATGTGTGGTAGTTTACTTGTGTGAAGGTAATCTAAGGTCCGTGCTGTCCTCTGTGCTCGACAAGCACAGCACGCATATCTTTGTCCCAGAGCTCATAGCTTGAATGGGCAAAAGAGAGCTTCAGAGAAGGGTGTGGTCTTCACAGTGAATGATCCATGGCTTGCAAAACACATGGTAAATAAACCCCTCTACTTGTTGGTAGAGACAAAAACAGAAGGACAAGCAGAATTAGTGAAAGTGAGCTATGACGAAAGTCAGAGAAGCAGCAGGAGAATGTGCAGGATTGATTCAGGAGGGAGGAAAACACTCTGAAGAAAAGAAGCAAGTAGTAGAGGGGAAAATACACCTAGCACAGTAGGATCATGACAGAGATCATTCTGTTTGTGCTGAGGGTCCCCTGCAAACGGAATTTATGAGCTGGTTCTCCCACACATTTCTGTTCCCTGAAGTCAGAGATCAGGGAGAAGGCACAAGGGCTTGGTAATCTTGATTGGACAGGTCAGAACTCTCAGTTTTGAGACACTGGGATGAGAGGGGAGGGTAACCATAACATGGTCTTTGTTCCTTGTTTCACAAGGTGTGGTGTGGCAGCTCTTGCAGCTGCTTGTCCCTGCTCTAGCCAGCACTGTTCCAACACATGCTGCCTTTCTGCTTTCATGAGAGCATTGGCCTCCTCAGTTCTTAGGCATCAACTGTGTATGGCAGTCATGTAAGACACATTTGATTTGTAGGCAAAAGAAAATGCAGGGCTTGTCCTGTCCTTGTGGCTGCTGTGTGTTCCAGATAAGTTTTTCTGAATGAAAACCCTTTAACTCCAGAGATTTTGCTGAGGGAAACTCAGATTGTGCATATTTTACCTTAAATTTCAGACAACCTTTTCTTGTTTTGAAATGTATATAATTGCTTCGGACCAATGCAAATGAAAACTGGCACTAAAATGGAAGTTTCCTATTGTTCTGGTGTTCCTGGAAAAGAGTTGGAGATAATTTTTAATACGTGTTCTTTCTTTCTTAACTTACCTAAAACCAATTCTCTCCTAAGGCAGTTGTGGTCAGAATAGCAGCATGCATGTCAGGATTGTGGCATTGGCACACTGTGCTAGTTATGGGATTCCTCATAATGCGTAAGAACAGCTAAGGAAACTTGAACTGGAATACAAGCAAACTCAGCTAAATCTAACTTTTCTCAAGTGTGGGGAAAAAAATTGTATCAGACAATTTTGGTTTCTCTTGTAAGAATCTGAGCCCTTTGTTTCAGTAAAAAGAAAAAGCAAAACTATGCAAAAGGAGATTTTGATGCACCTATCTTAGAGCTTTTCTTTGGTAGCTTCATGGGTGAGTTCCAATCATTTCAGCCAGTATAGTAAGTTTTCTTGAAAGCAAAGGCATGTGCTAGACCAGCAAAAGAGTTATTTCCTCAGTGTTAAGTAGAAGTGTTTGGGAAGAGCATGGAGGTGTATTGTAAGGATTTATCAGTGTCACCAGTCCCTTCCTACTGTCAACAGTTCATAGTTTCTCATGGGAGAAAATGAGTGACACAAAGGTCTTGCAAAAGTGAAAGGTTAAAAAGCCTGCACTTCAGTGGGAGTATAAAAACAATGCATCTCATCATCAGTTCAAGTTAAGAATAAAGGGCGCTTAAACTGTGTGCTGTGATCCATCTGAAGTCTTGAATTCTGCTCAGCCTGCATAAAGAATTAACACACACACAAAAAAAGGTTAAATGGAAATTCTAGCTGACACTGAGAGGTACAAAACCTGCCCAAAACGAATGTGTTTAGAGCTAACTGGGAAACTAGGTAACTCTGCCAACAAACTAGCTTTATACAGCACGCTAAAATACACCTTATTTACTCTGCCTCATCTACAATTCAGTTAGCAGTGCAAGGTTATTTTAACACTATACAGAGATCAGAGATGGAATAGTGCTTGTGGGTACAGGTGCAAAAGCTTCTCAAAGAGACAGAACTGCAAATACTGGTTCACAAAATTCTCAGGAAGCTTTCCTTTTTTAATCAGTATTGCCATTTTATTGTTTAACCTACCCTGCTTGATCTTCCTACTTTTGGTTAATACGGGAGTCAATTACAGCTTCATCTGTGCAGAATTAACTTTATAGAATATACACTAGGGATTTGTCTATCTTCTCTATTTAGATCTATGTCATTAAAAAATATGTAGTAGAGAACTGTGTGCAAGCACTGCATATGGTACAGGCTTTGCAGATTTATTGTAAAATCATTTTAAATCGGTTAAGCTCTTGCCAGAAGTTAATTAAATATGTTCCTTTGGTGGGGGGTGGGGGGACTCTCTGTATGTGTCCGTGTGTGTGTATGGGGGGGGCTTCTGTCTCACTAGGTGGCAGTGTCTGATTACATCTGGAAGGTCCATGCCAGCAAGCCTGGTGTCTCCAGCTGTGACCCCCCGCACCAGGATGAAATCCCTGACTCTGCAACTACCTCAAGAGGTAGCACCACTGTCCACATCTCTGTCTACACTGTTCACCTCAGCGGCTTCCAGGTGCTCTACAGACACTTCCTCAGGCTACCTGATGGGGCTATCATTGAGGTAGGTGTAAGCAGACTCCTCATATGCAGATTTTGAAGGCAAAGAGGTGCACTTCAGAAGTAGGTCAGTGTCCAAATAGAAAAATAGGCCTGCTTGACCCTGCAAAGTATATACACAGAAATCTTCCATAGGAAGACCTCGCTCCTAAACAGTAATATAAAATCAATGAGTTAATGCATTTGCAGTACAAAGTAGCAAGTTAGAATTGTTTGTAAAGCCATTTAAAGGCAATTGTGCAAGATATACATTGAAACTACACACACAGAAAAATTTTATAAACATATATTGCTTAGAACCACATAAGGAATTATATATAAATATACAATGTAAGCATTGTGCACATTTATTATGCAGTTAGTATTACAGGTATGGTTATTCATCTAGTTTTTCCTCAGAAACACAGAACTAAGGCATGGTTAGATTACTTACTGGCATCTTGCAAGTTTTAGATTGAATCCTGAATGTTGTCAGACTGTTAGCAGCTTGTGCACTAAAATACAGGATGGTATTAAAAGAAGTATCACCCATTACTTGTTTCATAAGCTCAATTTTGTTTATTGCATTGTCATTCTTGTTCTAAGTGCTTAGAAGTGCATTTCCTTGTTACCTTTGGTCTTGTACTGAGAGACTTTTTAAAAAAAATGGCATCTAAGAAAAAGTAGAGTAAAAGAATATTACTTTACCTTCTCAGATAAGAAATGGGAGCATCATCATGGAGGTCTGTTTGCCATCACAAATGAAGTTTTCAGCTTCTTACTTCTAAGGTGAAGGTTAAAGTTCATCTTTCCAGCATGGGCAAATGTTGCTTCTGCTCCTTTGGTTAATGTTTCAAGGCTGTTTTCTTCATTAAAAAAAAATTTATTCTTAATGTCTTTGCCCTACTTAGCTTTTTAAAGAAAATTTAATTCAAAGGAAACTGTCCTCAAGGAATCCAAACACAATTTTCTGCCCCAGGAACTTGTGATTCACCAGTGTGTTTCACAGAGTTTTAGAGCTGGCCAAAGAAAACAAGAGAAAGCACATGGCCTACGTGAAGTAGAACTTAAATTATTGAAACAAAGAAACCGGCAAATCCAGGTCCATGCCTAAGTCTGATAACAAAACTCTTCATACAAATAATTGACTAGATTTTTGCTAGAACACTTTTTTCCTGTTTGAGGTCAACAGCGCAGTCCCATTCCTACTTTCTGCCTGTTACAAACAGTAAATCTTTGCAGAATGGTTTTCCCCAATTCAGTTCTCAGCTTTTTTTGGTCAGAAGGTTTTATTCAGCTTTCACAAGGCTGTGGAAGGCTGAGCTTCAAATACCTGAGGCAGTGGTAACCTGGTGTGTTGGCTCAGTTCATTAATCCCTTCAGTATTTCTGAGAGAGGAGAAACATAGTCCCATACAGTGTGGTTTTGCCTTTCCCAGGTGAGCTTCCCAGAAGCTTCCAGCTTCTGACCTTCTCATCAGTATCCACAAGATGAGCACTGCAGAATGTGTCTCAAGCCACTTCTGTACAGTTTCGTGCACCAGATCAGAACATAGTCTATCCCTAAAATCTACATGGCTGAAGCTTTTGTCATTGTCTTGACAGCTGCACTTCTAATTTAGAGGATCAATGCATGCTTTACAGACTTCGCACTTGTAGATTTAAATACAATTACATATGAGAAATGTGCTTAACTAATAACTGCAATAAAACTTATATACAGGACTTATATTTAGCTGATAATGGATGTAATTATATATTTGTGTATTTTATAGGTGAGAGCTTTCTACTTCGGTTCCAAATTATAAATATTATATAAGTTAATGAATTTAAAACTATACATTGACTAGTGAGAATCTTGCTGCCATGGAGCTAATGCACCTAAGCTTCACCACTTGGTGTTGTGGCTGCCCCTTAGGAACAGATTTTGTTTTGCATCTGTTCCAGGTAGACAAGTGGTGGTACTTGACTGTGGTCAGAAAACCTTTTCAGAGCTAAAAGGTTGCATTGCAACCTGAAATATAGCTTTTAAGGGTGTAGGAAATGAAGACTACAAGGGCTTATCGGGATAATCTGTCCAGTCTGCTATTTCTGTGGACAACTGTGTATAATCATTTTCAGTCTGAATCTTTAGGCCTAGTCCTAAATGTTCAGGTAGTTTAGTTTACCTAAACCTAGTCTAGTTTGGGTATTTTATTACCAGTGATGCAGCGGAAAGATCTTTCTGGATTCTTACAGTCCATTTGGTCAGAACTCTCCTCTTATTCTCCAGCCTCAATATATTTGTTGTCAGTTTCAATGTATTTATTTGGAACATCCTTTGGTGGAAATAAGAATTCCCTCTTCCCGAAGTTTACCTACATAATCTAATTTCATAAACATTAATTTTCTTCTAGAATGGGTACAACACTTCACCAGAAGAATTAAAAAGGGCTTCCCTTTTGGTTTTAGTTCCCCTCTTCACTCTACCAGCAGTGAAGGAGCCACAGTAGGGATGGCAGAGATTGTCACATATTCAGCTGCTTTTTCTCTTTCTTCCCACCAGAGATAGGATATCAGTATGAAATGCTGCCTTTGGACTGTAGTAACTTGACCTGTAGGAGCTGGGCAGGTCTCTGGCAACTGGGACAAATCCTACCTTTGTACAGACAGCTACATTTTCTGCAGAGTCCACAGAGGAGGAAAACAATCAATTTTAACTTATTTTTCCTCTCTTCTGGGTGAGTTACTGCTAATGTACAACTGCGGAATACAAGGAGCAATTCAACCGCATCTAGGAACTGGGGGCTGCATGCACCTTCTTCCTGCAGAACAGTCATGCTTTTTATTACAGTAACCTACCAAAGGTGAAAATGTAATTATTTCAGTGTAACTTTTTGTTTCTTTGTTCACTTTTATTAAGAAGTTCTGAAGGCATATAACTCTGAAGACCGCAAAATGAAAAGGCTTTGATTTTCTAATTTCTGTGACTTTCATGAATCCTACCTGAAAGAGCCATAACACCTGTTCGTAATTACTGCAGTGGGACCTCATTAATCCAAGCATTTGGGACCAAGATCTCTCCATTGATGTGGAATGTTCTGTGCCATCGTAGCATGATGGTTGCTGGTATTGGCAGATGTTCTTCAGAAATAATATATATAATAGGAGGAAATGAGCTATTTGGCAGAAAATTTCACAGAAATTATAATAACTTTGCTTGTGCAAATATAGACTTTGCTCAAAAAGTACCACCAGTATTAGCATTAGCGTCTTAGCATTCAACTAAAGTGTGTATGCGGACTAGCAAGCTCTGGGTTATTGGGGTGGCAGTGTATATTTTCAAACACGCTGATATGAGAACGGTATTTAAATCACCAGGCCAAATTCTTCCTCAAATTCATGTGTTCACTTCCTAGTGACTTTAGCCTCAGATATGTTTCTGTAGATGCAGACGTTCTTTGACAGGCATAAGAGGAATTTTGCATAATCTTGATTTAAAGTCCTTGGATGATCATAGGGAATTTCCATTATATTCACAACCTCTTCCTGCTCTTTTTCACTTCAGTGAAATCAAGATTTTTTTCTAGCCCTAATTCAGCAAAACCCTTCAGCGTGAACTTCCTTTAAGCCAAATAACCGAAACAGTTACTTTAATAATACTTTCTTGGTTTTTTTTGTTTGTTTTTTTTACAGTATGTAAGGCCACTTTGTAAATGGTGTCTGCAGAAGCACGCTAGCCAGGAATAAGTGTCTCCCTATGCAACAATTTCTTTAAAATACTTATTTCTTTAAGTACGGTATTCCTATTAAAGGTCCAACTTTGCTGGTATAAATAGAAATTTCATGTCTGGTATGAAAGGTAGTTTTATACTTTTCATAAGCATGAGGCAAAAGTAACCATTTTAAAAGGAACATTAAGTACAAGGTGACGTATAAATTGCCCTAGAAATGTTAAATAAAAAGATTTCTTTTTGAATGTACAGCATAAAAATTATAGAGGTTAAACTTGTAAGTGCAGTCCTTTTATCATAAGCATTGTAAAACTCGAAGAATTCACATGCAGTAAAACCCATTTCCCTTTTTGCCTATAATATATTTCTCCTTTATAATATTCAGTTTAAGTGCTGGCTAACCAAGGAATGACCTTCCCAAAATAAATCATTTTTCATGCTTTTCCTTAGTCATTAATCTTTTGTTATTGTAATATACAGGAAATTATTGAGTTTTAGCATTTTAAATGTATTTGAAATCCATGCACAGAAAAGTTAATGATAGTAGTACGTGCTTGCTGTCTACGTGGTGATAAGACTAACTCAGTGATTTTTATCTTGACTTTTGCTGACTGGAGTTGATTTCTTATTAAAAGGGCAAAGATAAGTCACCTTAACTCAGCAAAAAATCAGTTTCTTATTATAGGCCTAGTAAACCTCAGTGTTGTAGAGAAAGTTTTTGTATAGTATGATTTTATCTATCCAATAAACCTACACAAATGTCAAGAATTCATCCAATTTAAACTTACTGGATAAGAGAGATCTGTTTTCCCTAATTACTTGAAAAGTACCTAGTAGTAATAGGATAAGACAGCGTAGGTGACTAGCCAATTACTTAGTTTAAGCTATTTACATCAATCCATATGCTATAAATTATATCTAAACTCTCTTGCACTTCTGGAAAAGTGAATAAAATCATATAAGTTTATTTTGAATACAAGATCAGATATGGTATGCTGAGTGACACTTAAAAAGAATGAAACAGTAACCGTAGCTTATTTTCTGAAGCAAACTTGACACTAATGCTAAATTACAGCTTGGAAACATCTAGCATTTTTACCTTTATGAGAAAAGGCTTTTTACATATTTAACATAATTCTAGGGAAAATATACTGGAATTATGTATAAAGATATGTACACTGTAACCAAAGGGCATTTATATTCCCCAGTAGAATACTTACAACAATTTTATTGCCATTTGGTGTCATTTTCTAACAGATATAAAATACAGCCAGTAAACAAACTAGGCTTTAGATTTAAGCTGACAGCTGTTCCTTCAGAAGCAATATTCAGATATTTAATCTTAAGAATACTGAATATTTTACAATTGTTTGAGCAAACTATACTTTCAGCATGTGAAGGACTGCGTGCTTTTACATACAGTTCTCGGATCCGATAATGACACTAAAAAACAACCTTAGAATAATCTACACATTTGTTGCTTCTTTATATTCCTTGGGCAAATCAACAAATTGCCTCATGTTTTATTCTTAATTCCATAAATTCTTTTTATATAAGCAATGTTACTATGAATATTAGGCCCTATTTTTTTCCTGTATGTGTGTAAACAGTTGACTCCAGTGCAGTTTATGCATGTATCTGAGTGCATCTTTTCCTGGCTTTAACTTCATTAAGGGAATAAATTGGCCAAGTGTACTGCAAAAGCCCTACATGCTGTTTTCATAAAGAGTCTCACTGCAGTGGTCACTAAAGATTTATAAAGAAGAGAAAAGGTCAGATTGCTCTAGCTCAGTAACTGAGGTTAGTACACTACCTAATGGCTTCATCATCATATGGCTTCATCATCTCACCAAACTGTGCAGAGGGAGCAGAAAAGCTCTGGCCTTTCCAAACCATAAGCTAGATCATTCGAGGTGAGTTGGTGATGACTTCTTGGCTGGGCAGAGGCTAGGCAAAGGTAATTTGGTGTAAATTAACCCCTGTTAACTGGCTTCAGCAGCATTATGACAGGTCATCCACAAACATGGCCAGTTTATGAATCAGTTTCCTGGAGATCCAAAAGTAGGGATTAACAGCAGAGGTTTATCCCTCACAAGAGTGATTCCACCCACAAGTAATGCACACGTGTACATACCCCTGGGCTGAATGGACTTTGCCACATGCTGCCCACCTAACTCTGAGATGTAATCTTGTCCCACTGAAGACAAGTAATATTTTACAACTGCTTTCAATGGGAAGATAATCCCTCCCAACATGCATTGAGATTCAGTTGGGAATCATAGATGATAAGTCAGCTAAGGGATATTACCATGGACACAGGCAAACAAATCTGTAAAGCCTGCAAACTTAAAGCACTTTTGTGAGGGTCTGCAAATAAGAAGTAAACCAGAGTGTTTTAAGTTATCTTTATCAGCATATATTTCTCCTTTAGTCCTATAATTCGATTAAAGATAATCTGTTTAAAAAATAAAATAGTTGTCCACATGGCTCTTTTTTACCCCACTGAAAAGAGTTTTCCTGGAGAAATCTTGCATTTGTGTGCTTTTCTCCTAAATTGATCTTGCTCATCTTGCATGTGACATGTGAATCCTGTCCTGAAATGGACACTGTCTATTGCTCCTTGCCCTTCTGATGGCTAAGCCAACCAATTTGCTGCAGATGAAGAGGATGTTCACACTGTGTCTCAGGCAAGGAGAAGTTATGTCTATGTACCTTTTGGTTTTCGTTGTTGACCCTTTCAAATTTAAGATTAAGTCCTTAATTTTTCTCAGTCAACTGAGCTATAGTCTTAAATGGAAATGGTGTCTATTAATTATTAATCTATTAAGACTGTCAACTACAGTGAAGGCTATGCTGCTGCATGAAACAGGATGGAAATTCAGGAGGCAGCCTTCAGCATGTGGCCATTTCTCCCCTCTAGTTTTCTCCAAATCCCATCTGTGAGATTTCTCTGAGTTTCTCTAGAAACTCATAGAGCCATGGGGAAGAAAATGTATTTCCATTAAGACACCATGTCCTGCTTGTCTGTGGTAGAGGCTGTTGCCCAATAGAAGGATCAGGAAAGTGATGAGACAGATCCACCAATGGCTTTCAGTAGCACACACAGGCTTTCTGATAACCACAAAATGACTGAAACACCTACACTGCAGCACTATTCTGTATATGGATATGCAATTTAAAATCATGCTGGCTTTTTTATATACTGGCAGAGAGCATTGGGTGAGGAGCAAGGGTTACATACCTAGCTAACAGATACACAAATATTTTATGGATGTTTATTGTTCCATGGGGGCCTGAGGAGTTAAAGCAGTTTCCTTTGGAAATGCATCCATTCAGTCTGAGCCAATGCTCATGGGAAAAGTGTTGTCACATAGTCATGCTGTATAATGAACATCAGTGCTGATATTTAAGGGGTATGTTAAAGTTCTATTTTGTATTGAAACACTTCCCTTTCAGTTCAAACCCACTTTAAGCACACAGATTTGCTGTATTTCCAGTGATTTCTGAATTTATGCTGCAAGGGTAGAGTCACTGATTGCTGCAGAAGGTATTTTGTACTCTTAAACACTTACAATCTTTATTCATCTGTCACGTAGTTTTACCTGAATCAGCAGTAAAATCTCTGAAGTCAAAGGATAATTGCCAAAACAGCATTAAATTGTTTTATCTGAACAAAAGTATAACCTTTGAAAAAGTACCTTGCAGCTACACAGATTGACAAAATGCATCAACTGTATTTTTTCTCACTTTATAATTACACTGCAGTAACTGAACAATGAACTTTACTACATGGTTGATTAACCATAAGGTTACTGCTATTAAGTCACTCTCAGAAACAACAACTTGGACTTTAAGTTAAGAACAGAACTCTGCATAACATCTGATCAAGTCTAAAATTCTGACATATCTATACAAGCTTCAATTTAAAGTGTACAAGTAAACAATAGTACCTTAAATGTAGTAAAGGGTTTTGGTTGCTTTGGTCAGGCATTCTGAGTGTGTGAACTATTGGATTTGAAAGACCCTTTGGTATATACTAACCAACACCAATGGAAAGGCTTTTCTATATCACAGAATCATAGAATCAACCAGGTTGGAAAAGATCTTCAACCTGTATCCTCTTTTTTTGCATAGAAACAAGTCATACAAGGAGCAGCTGAGGGAACTGGGGTTGTTTATCCTGGAGAAAATGAGGCCCAGGGAAGACCTTATAGCTCTCTACAGCTACTTGAAAGCAAGCTGTAGTGAAGGGGGTGTTGGTCTCTTCTCCCAAGTAATAAGTGAAACAGCCTCAAGCTGTGTCTAGGAAAGTTTAGATTGGATATTAGGAAAAATCTCTTCACAAAAAGGGTTGTCAAGGGTTGGAACAGTCTGTCCAGGTAAGTGGTGGAGTGGCCGTTCCTGGAATTTAAAAGATATGTAGATGTGGCACTTAAGGACATGGTTTAGTGGTGGATTTGGCAGTGTTAGGTTAATGGTAGTACCTGATATTCAAGGATCTTCCAACATAAACGATTATACGATTCTATGAAATTGGCATTCCAGCATCTGGGGATTTATGATTAAATATCCAGGTATAGTCTGACAATATTTCTGCAGTTTTTCTCAGGTTATTGCAACAGGAAAAATGTTACTGTTTCTGATAGCTCACTATAGGCCCCCTTTTTGTCTTCTGTTTTCTTGACTTTGTATATCGCAAAAGTGTTGCTATAAAGCCCTGCCATGATGTTGTATCTCTGTTTAACCTGCCCTGAAGATTGTTTATGCCATGAGAGAAACAGTTTAGGAGAATCTAAGACTGGACTATCTCTTAGTACAAAAGAATAAAACTGAAAAGTAGTAGGTGCTCTGTGTAAGTGGTACTTAGCTAAGAAGAAAAAGTAGCCTGGTATGAAGAAACTGGACAAGGATGTAGAATGCACAAGATTACTCCAATGATCAGTCATAGTTGTTTATATGAGGTAGGGAATATCCCGTTCATTGCCTGTATCCCCTCTTCCAGAGGTAACAACACTTCCCAGCTTCAGAGGGTATCAAACCCAGAATTACAACAAAGATTTTAACATGTTTCACCAGACAGACTATAAAAGTACACAAAAATACAATAGAAATTAGAGAATATTCTCACACGTAAGTAAGTGTTTGTATAATTGATTACAGATGAGCTAAATCAGGTTGAGAATAGCAAAATTCATTAAAACATTATGGTATTACTGGAGCAATCTGCTTGTTTCATGCTAGAATTTGCACAACAGCAGCTAGACAGGGCTGAGGCTCTGTTACTTCTCAGCATCTGAAATTTGATTTCTGCTTACAGTCATCTAAGCAAAATTTCCCTTATATTGGGCACTCCAGAAAGTGAAAACAGTTAGAGCCAGGACACTCTTGTGCAAAATGCCACCCACATGACACAAGCTGAGGATTTGACTTGAGATGTGGTAACTACTAATGAACTGAGCTGGATCTGCTGCAATGTCTTGGCTTTATAAGCTGTTTCCAGTTCTATAACATCATTTCCTCCTCATGGCCATGATTTTCTTTTTTGAAGGTCTATTCTTTATTCACCCAAATCTTCTCCATGTGTCAAGAACGTCATAAGAAGAAATTATTAAAAGCAATGGGCGTAAAAATCCCCATTCCACTGCTTTACCAAAGCATTTAGAGTGAGAAAAATTAGGCGAATTCACATTTCACATGTGTTTAAATTGTTAATCTCACTGCGCTATTTGTATTAGTGAATACATTTACAGTAACTTTTACTTTATAATATTTTGGCAGAACTGTTAGAAAAATTGTTATAAGCCTAGAAGTGGAACTGAACCATGAAAGCTAAACTGTAAGCTGTGGTAAAGCTGGGTTATTAGTATGACAGAATAAAATTTCACACACACAAAAGCTTCTAAGTGGCAATATTTTGAAAGCAAGAAGAGAGGGATGGGGAAGTGTAGTCAAAGTCATCTCTGTTCCCTCTGATATTTCACTGAATGCTACTATAATAGTATGTTGGGTTTGTCTGTTCTATTTTTCAGGCATTTGGTGATATTACTGCAGAAAGTCTTTTGTGTAATGAAATGAGCACAGCCCAGGAATGCATATGCAAAATGGGCAGCGTGCTGCATACATCTTCATCTATCAAGCTGAGGGAGAGGAAGAGTACCACAAGGTGGAAAGGTATTATTTTCAGTTTCTGTACCTAGCTGAAAAACAATGCTGATACCTAAGCATAAAAACGTGAAAGGGGTAGAAGAAAAGAGATAATTTGAAAACAGTTTATTTTGGAAAGACTAAGGTGTGATTAGATAGGGCTGGAATTTTACATTTGTGTTTTCCAGTGGGTTGCCATCCTTGGGTAGTTTCATAGGTCTGTTACAAGAGTCCTGAAGACTGAAGAGCTGTCATTCACCCAAATGCTGTCACACTTTCTGTTCAGATACTCAGTACAGTAATGCAATCCAGAGTGATCTATCTTGAGCAAGGGCCAGCATTTAAAGTATGCTGAGGGCAGGCTTACATCAGCTACTTTATGTATAATAGGTATGTCCATACATATTAGTCTGAGTGTGAAAGTCCTAATCTGTCAGACTTGCACATTGTTTTTCATTATTTACTGAGAGCCAATGGACCCATCCCAGTACCTAGAAAAGTGCATGCAGAATGGAACATACCCATGTGCATCAAGTTGCTAATGAAGTTGCTGCTGATCAAAGGTAGTATCAGGGTGTTTGATGAGAGAATTATGAAACACACTGACTGTCCTTAGACATCACTGTTGTTGCAAGATACCAGTTTCCCCTCATTCCTTACCCAGGGACTCAGTGCCAAACCTGGCCCCACTGGATCCCAGCGCTTAACTGAGTCCTATTGTTTTCAGTTTTCTGATGCTGTCTGAGGAATAAAGTTAAGTTAAAAGCACCTTGGTGTTACTTTTTAATCCACAGAAATCTTGTCTGCTGACAGAGAAACCTTGGAAAGTTCACATGAGCACATAAGACAGGTTTTCAAAGTAAAATAGATAAATTTACTGTATGGGCTCCTGCTTCTGTATTGCTCTTTTTAGGGGAGGAAGGTCATCAGTACACTGTTGCCTGTTTATTTATTCACATCATGTCTTTCTCTACGTTGTTTTTTCTGATCTTCAGGAAATCACATTGTCTCCAGCAAGAGCTAATTGCTGCAGTAATGCATAGTCCACAGAGTTGTTTACATCCCGACCCACAACCATAGTACGGTTACTGTCTGACAGGATTTACGGTTCTGAAGTCCACACCTCTGTGTGCATAGTGTTGTCCTACAAATGCTCCATTCATAGCCCTCCTGTGGCTTCAACAAGCTTTTCAGTATGGTGAGATCACTGGATCATATCATAAATTGGATAATGCAAATATCATTTTTTCTGAAGATTTTTCTTCCCCTTCCAAATAGTGGGACATTCCTAGATAGGTTTGCTTGTTCCTGATTTTTCAGATTTGCTTTACCCACTAGTGGTGGTGGTGGCAGTGAAAATGTCGCTGATTTGTCTTTCAATTTTCATGACTAAAATGTTCACAGTGTTTTCAGTAATTGTTCAAAGCACAACACTATTGTAATTGCAAGGCTGTAAAGATGCCCAGAAGAGGAACAATGATGGCTTAATGCCACCAGCTCTGTAGCCAAGCCCCAACAGGCTGCAAAATTTACAAGATCCCAGAGAAGATAATTTTGCTGGGGTCTTAACATTGATCAGATCTGCTTCCCTAGGAGCTATAGCAGCTTAAAGCATCCTGGAGGTTACCCTCATGCTTTCTTAGTAGTGTTAAATTATTGCTTATTAGTTCGAACCAGTTAGTGCCTGTTCTATTTGGCTTCATACAAATACACCAGAAATTAAACCCATGCCCCAAAGGCAAGGACTATGGGAGACAACAGAAGGTTAAATTGGTAAGGGGGAACAAAGGCAAGAAAGGTGAAGTCATTTGTCCAATGCCACCAAAGTCAGAAGCAAATGCAGAAATGAAGGGCAGACTGCCAGTGCCCTGACTCTTGGTCTTCCCTGTAGTAGGATCCTTTTTGTCCTAAAAATGCAGATGGAAAAGGGAAGAGTCTTACTGTCCTGCTATTTTGAATCATTCAAGTAGAACACTGTAATCAATTAACATAGTAATCAGTGACATTTTTCTAACATGGATGATTTCTGGTGTCCCTTTGTTCACACTGGAATGGTAAAACTTTTTTAGATCCATTTACCCTTGCAAGATCTTTCCCAATGTCTTGAACATTGTTGATTGATTTTGGTACTTAAATCTACGGTTCTCCTCCATCTGAATAATCACTAAATGACGTGTAACCTGGAGGTTTAAATGTCACTCCTGAAAACAGTTTTTCTTTCGGTTTGCAAAGTAACAATTTGGTTTCAGCTTTTTGGTCTTTTTTTAAATAGATTCGAGTGCATGTACATATGTGTGTTTTTATGAGTTATTCCCAGACAGAAATGCTGTTAAAAATCTTCTGAATGTCTGCAAGATGTGATGTGATTTTTGTGGGTTCTGTTACCTCAGATATTATTTGAATGAATTCTGTCTGTTGTAACAGGAATAAATTTGCCTTTTTAATGTTCTGCCTTGCCTGTTGACACTTTAAACTATTGTGCATAATTTTGAAAAACAAACCAACTGAAGAGAAACTGTCCAGTCCCAGAATTTTCTTTGGATTTTTTCTACCTGAGTAGAGTTGTGCTTCTCAGGAATCACCCCAGATGCTGGGGTAAGGGCAATTATACCACAAAGAGTGAATTACAGAAACAGTGCAGTGGAGTCCATTGTGGAGCATTGCTTGTGTACCTGACTATTCTCTGCTATGAGTTAAGGTGATCTGTAACCTGATGCAGTTTCTGGGTGACATTACCAAGAAGACAGCATGCTGTGGGCAGCATCCTCTTGGTCTTAGTTTTGTCTTTGAACATGACTGAACGTAATGGTAAAAATCCCTTTGAGCAATATTATACCCTAAGTTTTCCCACCACTGAGTTATCCCAGTCTGGTTTTGTGCGATTTCGACTCTGATGTTGGTAATATTCTATTATTTAGTCTGATGGTAAGACTGGCTTTACATGTGGAACCATCACACCTTCAGCTCTGTTAGAACTATGCTGATTTTTTTAATAAAGGTGGATCTGGTCCTGTGGCTTTGTTCAGGATGAAGGGCTTGACTGACCACTTTTACTGCCCCCATTATATTGGCATGTCTCTGACTACCATCTGACCTGGGATGTTCAATTCTTCAACATCACATATTCTTGAAAAAGCTAAACTCAAAGTATGCTTAAATATTAAGTAAATTTACCTTACATTTTTGTTGAAAATGTAGCATCCTACCTATTTAGGACATATATTATAAAATATTGACAATTAATTTTGTCTATAATTAATATTTTAATAACTTACATAAAATGATTTAAAAAGTATATTATTTACAATAATTAATGGTGACTATATTAATTTTGTTTACTTACACCCTATAAGTTCCCCTGGTTGTTGATTAACATACACTGGCTGGCATTGGCTTTGAAAGTGTTTTCTGAAGTTCCTTTTCTCAGCAACATCATCCATAATGCTCAGTTAGAGTTGGATAGTAATTGCCTGTCTATGCAGTGTTCCTTTGCAGCAATTTTCTCCCGTGTAGCTATATATATGCAGTCATTACTGAAAAGTGTAAATAAAGAATCCTTTTAGTGGTGTAGTTTCCCTGGGTACCTACTGTGCTCTTATTATCTAAAACATACTCCCCATCTGTAGTTCTGTTCTATTAAAAGATAAAGACATAAGTATGAATTAAAAATTAAAATGCATGTTGTAGATTGGAGAGCAAGGTCTATTAGAATATATCTGGTGCTAGGCTCATAGTACAGTAGATAGATTATACTGAGCACCAGTTAAGCAAGGGGATGAAAAATGAGTGATTTTCATCATTCAGTTAAATATAGTGCTAAGTGGTATGTTCTAGCATTAAAAGTAAATTACTTAGCACTTCACCAATCACAGCATGAGAGCTTTCCATTGGAAGCACTATTTCTAGTGATGCTCAGTCCTCAATTTTATTAAATAAATCAGCTCTTAATGCTTAAGGAAGCAGTTGAAGAATTATTGCTATGATAATAAAAAGATTGAAAATGTAAAAATAAAGAGAAGCAGTACCTCATTTTAATTAAATGCCCTAAGAAAACCTCCCTCTCTCTTAACAACAAAACTCCAAAGTGATGGTAGATGTATAATATTTGTATCTTCTGTACCTTCTTCACGTCTTCTTCTCTCACTAATGAATATGACCTTTCCATTTTTTTTCTTCTTCATTTTTATAATGACATCTCTTTTCCTCATAAATCTGCTGCCATGTCATTGAACATTTTGATGAGCTTTTCTGATTCCCTCTTATATCTCCTTGATAGGATATTATTATGCAGTAATCTAGAAATGGGGAGCCTGATTCTCAGCACAGATACTTTTTAGCTGCTCAGTGAAAGATGATGGAGATGTGAGAATTCACACCAGAAGAGGTTTTGACATTGAGAGCTACCTTTATATCACATTGCAAATTATTTCCTCCACAGCAAAAGGCATTGGGAGACACTCAGATCTGCTGTTTGAGCACATGGAAACTCTGAGAAGTCATAAACCTTTCTGAGTCTTGGACCATTTCTAAGCCTTCTCCGCCTCTTAAACAGGAGTCTCCTAGCAGGAGCCACACAGCAGAAGTACTGAGAATGACACATAGAGGAAATGGCCCAAAGTATGAGCCACAGGTGCATCCTCACCAGCAAGATAAAACATTAGAAAGATTAAAAATTACAGCTCAGGTATCAAAATTACAAGGTTAAGGACACTGCACCAAGCTATCTTGTGTCCTTCATTTTTTCCCGTAGTGTCATACTTTGGGGAATCCTATTTTGAGTTTTCTTTTGTGACTAGGTTTGAAGCTGTTTTCTTTATAAACTGTATTGGGTCTGGCTCAGATGGAGTTAATTTTCCCCATAACAGCCCTCATAGTTCTGTGCTTTGTACTGTTAGCTTGAAAAGTGTTGATAGCATACAAGCAGGCTGGGGATGGGCAAGATCTTGGGAAGGAGCATAGCCAGATCAGCTGACCCAAACTGACCAAAGGGCTATTCTGTACCATATGGTATCTGCCTAGCAACAAAAGCTAAGAGAAAGAGAAGAAAGAGGGGGCATTCATTATTTACAACATTTGTCTTCCGGAGCAACTGCTATGTGTAGCCCTGTTTCCCAGGAAGTGGCTGGACATCTCCTGCTGATAGAAAGTACAGAATAAAATATTTGTTTTAATTTCTTTCCACATGTGACTTTTACTTTCACTTTATTAAATTGTCTTTCTCTTGACCCATCAGGGTTTTTTTCCATCTTATTTTCTCTCTCTTTTCCTGCTGAGGAGGGGAGTGATAGAGCAGATTGGTGGGCACCTGGTGTCCAGTCAGAGTCAACTCACCAGATAAAGATAAAAGGGTGGGAAATGAGGGACAAACTAAATAGATGAAAACCAAGAATCTCCTGTCAGTACATAATTGCAGGAGCTCATACGTGGAATAAAATACCACCTCTTCTGGGATTCATTGTAAAAATGACAATCGGTTGTTTTCTGTGGGCAGGAGAGGAAGGATAAGGGCAGTCAAATTTCTTGCAAGCAGTATTTCTGTTTTTTTTTGGAGACAGGGCAAACAACCATACCCAAGGGATAAGCTATATATAGTTAATAAATTTTAGTACAAAGGTTGGCTGGAGATGTTTTGGGTTTTCTTCTGGCCCTATTTTCTGTGAAAATTATGAGATCTGCACAAAACAAGTAGCTTGTATTTATTCTTCACTTATGTTTCATTCATTTTTAACTGGTGCTTAATACTTCAGTGAAATCAGTGTAGCCCTATACAGAAGTCTTTCCACTAATAGTGTAGGATGATAATATTAGACCTGAAATAAATACTTTGTGAAATCCTGACTGATTTCAAAATATTTCCTTGTGGAAAAAATTGTCAATCTTTTATAATATACGTCCTAAAACAAAGCGTTTAAGCAATAGTTCTTTCTTTTGGTACAGCAGACTTTCATTCTCATTTCTCTATCATCTGCTACTTAGATATGCACTCGGAAGATCTTTTTTTTTTTTTTTTTAAATCTTTAAACCTTTATTTGAAGTACTTCCTTAAACCTTAAAACAACACACATTCTTTTTGGTATCAATATAACCTTTTCTCCTTAAAATATTGAAGGACATATTTAACCTAGTTTTCAAAATATAGAATTCATTTTTTTCATTTTCTTAGCTGACACATAAGGGTTCTGATGCATCTTTTCTGGGTATGCCAATCCTGTCATATACAC